AAAAAAAAAAAAAAAAAAAAAAAAAAAAGGAAAGAGAGGGATGTGGTTTCTCTCATTTTTGACATAGCAGACCCCAGCAGGAGGCAGGAAAGAGAGGGACGTGGTTTCTCTCATTTTTGACATAGCAGGCCCCAGCAGGAGGCCCGCACGATGGGCTATTGAAGAAACAAAAATTTTCCATCAGAGATTGCAGAATCTGTTGAAGCTAATAATAGAAGTTTGAATGAGTTATTACGGAAGAGAAGGGGGAGGTGAATTCAATTTCATCTACAAAAAAATCTCAACCAACTCCGGGAATCCAAGGAACTCCCTCCCCATCATTCAAATCACTCCTCCTCTCAATCTCACTTCAGTTTTCTGTTGCCAACAGAATCTTCTGAAATTAGAAAACTATCTTAGAACTTGTAGGCAAACAAATCTCACAAAAATACCATAATACCTTATAATCTGGATAATCTCGTTTGCGAAGGACTTCCATGCCAAAAGCCTTACATAAAATGCACATGATTCGGAATACGTATCAGACAAAGGTATTGAGAAGGAAAAACAATCAAACAAAACTAACTATAAGAAAGAAAAAAAAAAGAGGAACATTTAGACAGCCCAATATAGCATTCAAACAAGTCTCACCTTCTCATAAAAATTTATGGATCGATCAAGATCACCTACACGAAGCATTACTTGACATAAAGGCTCGGGAGTAGGCCCCCTTTCCAAGAGTTCAAACTTATAGCCATCTGGATCTTCGATAAATGCAATCACAGTAGTGCCACCTTTAACAGGACCAGGTTCTCTGGTAACCTTTCCACCCTTGGCCTTTATGAGTTCCACTGTCCTCGAAACCTAGTGGTAGAAAGTGGGAATAAAAAACCATGATAAAAGCTGGTAACTAAAAAAATGATCTGAAGGGTATGCGGCAAAAAGCACAAAGTAGAAGGGACACTGTTGACACAAGCGTAAATAAATTTATATGGTCTAAATCAAGTGTATAACATAGAAAAAAAATAAAATAAAATAAAGCATAGACTTACATCTTCAACTGCAATACCAAAATGTCCGAATCCGGTTCCAATATCATACTTGTCAACTCCATAATCTGTGATCAGTAGTCAATCAAAATAAATCAATTTGATTGATCTAGTCAATTCGTGGGGGTGAAATATTGGATAAAGTCATGTAGACTACTTACTGTAAGTGAGTTCAATAACAAAGTGAGCATCTTCAGGACCGTATCCAAGAAATGCATTTGTATATCTTTCCTCTGGTATGTCACGTTTTCGTAGCAGCTTCATACCCAGGCACTCAGTGTAGAATCTGCAGTAAACATATTTTGTAATTGAATTGTCTTAGGAAGACGGGAAAAGAGATAATAAGAAGATGTAGCAAGAAACTTTAAGTCTCTTGGAAATTATACATACTTTATGGTCCTCTCCAAATCTCCAACACGATAGACAACATGAAGAAATCTCCTCTTATCCTTTTTCACCCACTCAAGAATATTTTCTGGAATGGTTGTTGTGCTAGCCTGTGCTACAGATCCATTTATGGCCACCCTTATGGTGTTATTATGCTCCTTTTGCCACAACTTCGAAGTCTTTAGACCAAAGAATTGGGCCTGGGGAACAGCTATACAACAACTTAAAATCATTCTCCCGAGACATTTATGTCTGGAGTAACACAAAAAAATTCATGTCTTCATACCAAATGAGGAATCCAAGTTAGCAAATACAATTAATAAACTAGAAACCATCGAACCAAAAGACTTCAAATAGAAAACATGCTTTGAAAAGCTGCAGGATTGAGATATCAACCGTAAAATATCATCTATCTTCATAAGAACTCCAGATTTCAAACCAGAAAGTGATGCATAAATTCTGCTACATGAATGAAAAATTCCAACTCTCAGCTTTTTTCTTTATTTTTCTATTCCAGTTTAGGCTTTAGTGACGGTGGAAAACACCCAGGAACAGGAAGCTACGCAAGGCATCGTGCTAAAACAGAATAGCAATCCAACTATGAATGTGATAGGAAAGCTTTCAACAGAACACAACCAATTGGCATAAGCCGGAAAAATCCTGGAACCGACCAATCACTGCCGCCAAATCAAAACGACACGATAAAACAATACAGAAACATATTGAGGAGCACAAAAATTAGCATTTAAATCCAGGGCTCAGTAAAGAGACTAAAGCCGCACCAAAACCGAGATGAAATGAAGGCAGCCTCCGAGTAGGGGTGTAAGAAGTGAGAGAATGAGCCAAACGAGAGGCAGCAGCAAACCTAAATGACGAAATGGAAGGTCGCAATGAGGAAGCCATTGGTAATATCCTCACCATAACTCTGCGCCGTCACTTCGGCTCAATTCCAGCTCGAACTGTGAAAGCCCAAGTGATGAACAGAATAACTAGTTGCGAAACAGGTTCTCCAAACTCAATTTCCAATCTCCGTTTCTGTTTTTTCTTCTCTTTCCCGTATCTTCTAGAGATTTTCCGCAACTTTGAGCCCTCGCAGTAAGAAGAAGAAGAAGAAGAAGAAGAAGAAGAAGACAGCGAGTTCTAGCGATTGCGAGAGATGCCAAAAGCTTTCACCCCGCCAGAAAAAGACCACTCTGTCTCGCGTGTTCACCTTCTGTTTGTTTTCCTTGGATCGCTCCGTTGGGCCGGAAGGATATGGGCCTTCTTGTTGAAACTACGTTGATGTCCATATCGCTCCATATTTAAATTGAATATTTGAACTTTTAAAAAAAGTTACGTTGATCAAATACACTCATATATCACATAAACATAGAAGATTTCATTTTCTTTCTCGTCCTTCGGAAGAACAAAGTTGAAAAAAATGGAGGTGTTTGTTTGTTAAGTAAGGAGAAGGCAAGTGCATTTGTAGTTTTTTTAGTAGAAGCCAGCAGAGTAGAAAGTGGGGCCAATAATGGAGAGGCAGGGCAGGTGGGGCTCATTCCCCTTGGTATTATATATATGTCAATATCTTGAAGTAAAAAAAGATGCCCCAACAATCACAACCAAACGTGTACATATTCATTCATTCATTCACAAAGCCAGGGGCCGGTGCCTCCTGTCCTATGAAAAGTTACCCAATCAGATGTTCATCTTTTTGGGCCTTTCCCATTTCTTTAAATCCTCTGTGTTTCATGCCTCATGCATATACTACTTTTTCGCTTTCTATGTCCCATGGGGTCCATGAACTACGCCTTGGATAATCCCTACTCATCTACTGTTTCTTAACCTCGTCTTTCTCATGTCCTTCGAGGACTTATGGCTATCTAATGTGGACGAACATCAAACTAAACCAACAGCTTCTAGATTCCCTGTTGACTTCCCCTGAAACCACTTCCAGAATTACCACCCACCAGAAATATAATCAAGATCTTGTCAAGTCAATTGGTTATGCTTTGAATAATCAACTTGGTTAACCTCAACGGCGAAAAGCATCCTATCCACACAACTTTGAAGACAAAAGTTTGGGTCTTTTAGGGGTCAGAAAGACGAGTCAGGGTCCACTGCTATGATAATGAGAGAACGTGGGTGGCGTTCTCAGCCGCTCGAGGCTCTTTTCATGTTGGATAATTTGCTCCACCACGAGTCCCCACTGTTTTCAAGATTAAACAAAGCCCCCAAAGAAAATAATTAAATTATTGCCCTTCTTTCTGGGATCAAATGTTTTCCATATCTCTGTAGAGGTTTTTTTTTTTTTGGTGATATTCTGTTGTACTGTACTTGTTGCACAGTCGACTTCTTTGAAGACGAACACAAATCCAAACATCCCAAGGCGTTTTAGGCCAATGGGTAGGGCCGTTTCTTCTGTTTAGACCACCCCATTTCTCCATCTGCTCTGTAATTTTTTTAAAGATGAAGCTTTATTGCGTGGACGAACAGGGCCGTTTGAGAAGACCAAAAATCTTCAGCGGCAGAAAGCTGCTTTTGTGAGCTTCATCTTCGCTGACCTCTGTTCTGCCTTGTCGAGCCTCTGCTCAAGGTCGGTGACAATCTGAGCTCATGGTTTTAGGACGGATTCAGTGACTTTTTCTATGTTCGGACTTACTTTTTTCTCTGCTTACTGATATCTATTTTTTTTCCTCTGTTTCCTGTCTTTCTTGATTTTTGAGCTCCTACAAGTTGACTCATATCACTCTCTCATCAGCTTCTTATCAGTTACATTCTTTTTGGGTTTAAAGGGATTCGGTTTTGGGTCATTAATGGCTGGTTTTCTTCTTAATTCTTTCGCTGTATCGCGTTTTTCTTTTTCAATTTTAATTTTAACCCAGTAGATCAAGAATGTCGTTTTCATGTTTATCCGAATTCCTCATCGAAATTTAGAAAATTTTAGTGGGTTTTCAAAGTATCAAGTTTAATCAGCAGAAAATCTCGGGGGTATACTTTTGATTAAGTTGTTGACTCTAATTTTATCTTCTGCAACTATCCTCTCGTCCCCTCCAAGGTATGCTTAGAATCTGAAAGCTATTCTCGCCCTTTTGTATTCTGTTTTCCGGCATTCTCTCCACAATTCCGGCTCTGGGTCTCCGAAAAAACTTCGATTCTGAAGATTGATCAGAAAAATTGTTGGTCTTGCATTTTGCCCGCCAGCGGGTTAGTTTAAGCTAGCGGCGTGGTGTTGTGTAATTCTATTCACGGAGCGACAGTCAGAGGAGGTTCGTACAGGTTAACGAGCTTTGGCGCGCGTGAGCCTGGTGAATTTTGCGGCAATTCAATTCTTCTAACGCGCTCTACTTCATTTCCGTATTCACTCTAATGGGTTGCGTTCATTCGAGGGTTTGTTTTGGCGAGGCTACAACTCCAAGATCTTCAAGAATTGCCGACACCCAAAATGCCAATACCGCCGTTGAAATCGACGCGATCTCTACTTCATCTTCTGATAGCCAAGAAGATGAAATCCGCAACCAACTGAATTCAAACAACAGAGATTCAGAAGTTGGAATAACGAGGCTGTCGAGAATTTCAGCGCAGTTCCTGCCTGCTGATGGGTCTCGCACCGTCAAAGTCCCTTCTGGAAACTTCGAATTGCGATATTCGTTTCTTTCGCAAAGAGGGTACTATCCCGATGCTCTCGATAAGGCGAATCAAGACAGTTTTTGCATCCACACCCCATTTGGGAACAACCCAGATGACCATTTCTTTGGAGTTTTCGACGGGCATGGGGAATTCGGAACACAGTGCTCGCAGTTTGTAAAACGAAAGCTCTGTGAAAATTTACTTAGAAATAGTAGGTTCCACAGTGACGCAGTTGAGGCTTGCCATGCGGCCTATTTGACGACTAATTCACAATTACACGCAGATATGTTGGATGATAGCATGAGTGGTACTACTGCTATTACTGTTTTAGTTAGAGGTACGACTATATATGTTTCTAATTCAGGTGATTCGAGAGCGGTTTTAGCCGAGCGGAGAGGAAAGGAAATTGTGGCTGTTGACCTCTCCATCGATCAAACCCCGTTCCGAACCGATGAACTTGAACGTGTTAAGCTTTATGGTGCCAGAGTTCTTACACTTGATCAGATTGAGGGGCTGAAGAACCCTGATGTTCGGTGCTGGGGTACTGAAGAAGGAGATGATGGTGATCCTCCTAGGCTATGGGTGCCTAATGGGATGTACCCTGGCACTGCTTTTACAAGAAGTATAGGTGACTCAATTGCTGAGACTATTGGAGTAGTTGCTACACCGGAAATTGTTGTTCTAGAGCTGACACCGGATAATCCTTTCTTTGTCGTTGCTAGTGATGGGGTTTTCGAGTTTCTTTCAAGCCAAACTGTGGTCGACATGGTAATGTACTACCCTATGATATGTTTAGTGTACTCTAATGTGTTTGTTTTTGTCTAAACCAAGTTGGTGCTAATTCTTGATTGATTACAGTTTAAGGAACTAATGAATGATCAAGCAACCTTCAATATATTGAATCTCTTTCTTCATGTTATCTTCCAGGTTGCTAAACATAAAGATCCTCGTGATGCTTGTGCTGCGATTGTGGCCGAGTCTTACAGACTTTGGCTTCAATATGAGACTCGAACTGATGATATCACTGTTATCGTGGTGCACGTTAATGGGCTAACCAATGTACAAAGGCTTTCTTTATCTTCTTTTTTCTGTTCAAGTTGAAGTTTAAAAAATCGTTAGTTACTATAGTTTCTTACATTTAGTTCAACAGATATTTGTTTTATTTGGTTAGACGGTTACTAGTGAATCGACAAGATCCAGTGGAGGTGGTTTTGTTCGATCCACTGTTCCTCAAGTTTTGGAGGTGACAGGATCAGAATCTCCCTCTACCTTTGGCTGGAATCGAAACAACCGTGCAAGGCAAGATTTGTCACGGGCGCGTCTCAGGGCTATCGAAAGTTCCCTAGAGAATGGGCGGGTCTGGGCGCCTCCATCTCCAGCTCACAGGAAGACATGGGAAGAAGAAGTAAGCTCATGTCATGATTCTAATTTATCTTCATTATCAAGGAACTTTCAGTACAGTACATATTTGTTTCATTGCCATTTATCCAGTATGGACCTTTGAGGTGCTGAGTTTTTTGGCTTCATATTCCACAGGCACATATTGAACGAGCATTACACGATCATTTCCTCTTCAGAAAATTAACCGATTCTCAGTGCCAAGTTTTATTAGATTGCATGCAAAGAGTCGAGGTCATACCGGGGCAAATTGTAGTCGAACAAGTAGTTTTCTTTTTTATTTCTTTTTTCTTTACTTATCATGAAAGCCAACTGCTACCCTTAAATCAAATACATGCCTGCAAATGAGAATTTGAGGCAGCTGCTTTTATATGGTGGATTTTACATGAATGAATTAAGATGTCGATTTTTTATCATGTGCACGTGTCGTGTTGGTTTGTAGGGTGGCGAAGGTGACTGTTTTTATGTAGTTGGAAGCGGAGAGTTTGAGGTCTTGGCAACCCAGGTTCATATCCATTATATTACATATTCAAAGCATTGTCTCGAGATTTTATGTTGACTTGAAATGCTATCATCACAATTGCAGGAAGAAAGCCATGGAGAGGTTCCTCGAATTCTGCAACACTATACAGCTGAGAAGCTATCTTCCTTTGGCGAACTGGCTTTGATGTGGGTTCTCTCGTTAACTGTAGCACCATTTATTGATCATATGTTGTTGATACTCATTTTGTTTAATGAGTTTGGTATGTGTATAATGTATGTACAGGTATAACAAACCACTTCAAGCCTCCGTACGTGCTGTGACTAGTGGCACACTTTGGGCTTTGAAAAGAGAGGACTTTCGTGGAATTCTTATATCAGAATTTTCGAACTTGTCGTCCCTGAAATTGCTTCGATCTGTGGACCTTCTGTCGAGGTTAACGATCTTGCAATTGAGCCACATTGCAGATTGCCTTTCTGAAGTTACCTTCTCAGATGGGCAGTTGATAGTTGATGGGGTAACCTTATTGTACTACTACTGCACGTAACTGACAATAACGTCGTCTTTACAACTCTTCAAGTACCCTTTTTTTTTTTTTTCGCAGAACGAAGGTTTACGTGCACTTCACATTATTCATAAGGGCCAAGTGAGGATTACTTTTGATGCAGAGTTAATGAGCAATTCAAATATTTACGGGGACGAAGTTGCACAGAATGGTAAAGAGATCTCAGTTATTAAGAAAGAGGGAAGTTATTTTGGGGAATGGGCACTTCTTGGTGAGCATATTGGCTTCTTACGCGCAGTTGCTGTGGGAGATGTCGTATGCGCTATTTTAACGAAGGAAAAGTTTGAATCAGTTGTTGGTCCTTTACCAAAGCTCTCTCAAGATGACCAAAAGGAACATTCTTCAGACTCCCTCCATCACTCTGCTAAAATTATGGATATTTCAGCTCTTTCAAAAGTTGAGCTTGCTGATCTGGTGAGAATGCATTTGCTGATCTGCTGAGAATGCATTTGCTGATCTGCTGAGAATGCATTCTTCACACTCCTAATATTATCTTCTTTGATTGTTTTTGTTTTTAGGAGTGGAAAACGTGTTTATATTCCACAGAAGACAGTGAGATCGGGCTAGTTCGGTTAAGGAACACAGGTATCTTGTATTATATCGTCGTCAATCTTCTTTATAATGGCTATGAATGATATTCTTCTTTGTTGCTGATGGAACTTCCTTGGTGGGTTTTAATTTGACGCAGAAAGTATGCTTAGTTTAAAAAGATTTACAAGACAGAAGGTCAAAAGGCTGGGACTTGAAGAACAAATGTTGAAGGAGAAAAATCTTATGAAAACCGTCAGTTCTTCAGCTTGTGTGCCTCAACTCCTCTGCACTTGTTCAGATCAATCACATGCTGGCATATTGCTGAAAACATGCCTTGCTTGTCCTTTCTCTTCGATACTCCACGTTCCACTCGACGAGTCTTCTGCCCGTTTCTATGCAGCCTCTCTTGTTATAGCACTGGAAGATTTGCACAAGGTTTGATTCTGTGGAATTGCTGTTCCTTGTGTTTTCTTCTTCCGTCCTGGATTAATGTTTGCCATTCATTTGAATTTTCAGCTTGGTGTTCTCTACAGAGGAATCTACCCCGATGTTCTAATGCTGGACCAAAATGGACGGATACAGGTTCATACCTGCTCCAATTTGTTCCTATTTTTAAGGTTCTCTGTCTTCAACAAAAGGAGCTGTCAGTAGAGCCCTGCTTATATTCTTTGATTTCGTTCTTTTTTCAGTTAGTCGACTTCCGATTCGGGAAAAGAACGTTGGGTGAGAGAACGTATACTATGTCGGGGAGGGAAGAGTTTTTAGCGCCTGAGATAGTTCAGGGCAATGGCCATGGTTTTGCTGCTGACTGGTAAAAATGCAACTTACTTTGTACTTGAGCTTACAACAACTCACTTAACCGTGTTCAAAAAAATCCCAGGTGGGCGTTGGGAGTCTTAATCTATTTCATGCTGAAAGGTGAAACGCCATTTGGATCGTGTCGACAAAGCGAGCTCGATATTTCTTGTCTTCCCGAGATTATCAGTCCTGAAGCCACCGATCTCATCGTCAAGGTAATGTTAATATAATCAACAATCTCCTAAACTGCAATTACCGATCATGAACTTTGCTAAGCCAGGCATATATGGTAGTTTTCACCTTTTATGATAAATCATTTGATCAGTTACTTGAAGTTGATGAGAAGAAACGACTTGGCAACGAGAACGAATACTCGGTTAGAAGTCATCCCTGGTTTGATGGTGTCGATTGGAAGGGGATCCGTGACAGTACCTTTCCCGTTCCTGACTCGATCACTTCTCGTGTGGCTCAATATTTGGCGAGCTACCCTGAAGATTCCTGTGGTTCTTTAGTCGAACCACCTGAAGATCCCGACGAGTCGGATGCCCCCAAGTGGATCAGCGAGTGGTAGAAGTAGAAGTCGGACAAACTCTCCATGAAGATGTATGCAGGTTGATTAATTGCCATTGCAAGTAAATTGCATCATATTGAATAGATGTTATTCTTCCCAACCTGTGTGTTGAAATTTGATGAGTTGTGAATAGAGAGTAGGTTGGTAAATATATATATGTAAATGGAGGAGAGTTCATCATTTTTGCTCCACATTCAAATCATTACTAGTCTTCTCTTGGAAACTTGTGTTACAGGCTGCTCATAATAAATCCATCTTCTCTTCTCCATCCAGTGGGACTTTATTACTGGTTTTTTTAGAGTTCTTCCTTTTGATCCTCTCCAACATGATCTCTTAACTTTTTACAACTCTTCGACTTCGATCTCATATTGGTTGGAGAGCGGAATGAATCATTCTTTATAAGGGTGTGAAAACCTCTCCCTAATAAACATGTTTTAAAATCGTGAGGTTGACGCATCGGGCTAAAGCGGACAATATTTGCTAGCGATGGACTAGACTGTTACAAATGGTATTAGAGTCAAACACCAGGCGGTGTGTTAGCAAAAGCGTCAGGCTCCCAAGAGGGGTGAATTTTGAGATCTCATATCTCATATCGGTTGGAGAGAAGAACGGAACATTTCTTATAAAGGTGTGAAAACCTCTCCCTTACAGACATGTTTTAAAATTACGAGATCGAGGATGATACGCAGCAACAAACCATATTTCATTATAATTTAATTTAAATCACAATTGGGAAGTCTGACTTTTGAAGTAATTAAATAATGAATAAGAGAAGAAACAAAGAGGAAGGGATTCTCACTTCAAGTCGTGCACAAAAGATGGCATTAAGAATTTCGTTCCAAACAAGCAATCAAATTCCATGCATTTATTATTTACTTAATTCTCTATTTTTTTATTTTCATCTATTTTTTTAGACTAAGAGTTTATTTAATTATTTAACCACATGGGTGCACATAATTCTGTAGAATATACCTAATACAAGTTTGAATTTAAAGTTTAAAAATTTAACACTATCTAATTTAAAAGTAAGTTGATATTAAGTGTGAATTTAAATTTCAAGTCTTAAAAAAAAAAAAGAATAAATTTCTTAATTACTTGACAATTCTTACGAAATTAAATGTTATTTGGAGGAACATTAGATAATTAATAGGATAAAGTGAAAGTTATTATTACCTAAAATAAATAGTAATTAACCATATCACGTATTTGAATGGAATCCAATGTTTTATCAAACCCTAAAAGTAATTCTAACATTTCTTAGAATTCTAACTTTTTCAAAATTATAAAATTAAAATTTTAATTTAATTTAATTTTTTTTTAAAAAAAAAGTTTGTATATTCTTAACCAAATTCCTTTTTTGCTTTTAAAATTGATTTGGTATTTAAAAAATAAAAAATTAGAAAGATTTACCAAAATGAAAATAACGGGAAACCGGAAGTACACGTTGCACGGCCCTCCGTTCAAATCTTACCCTTCTATTAATTTTCACCCAAATTTTACAATTTCAAACCATCATATTTTCACCCAAATTTTCACCCCATCTTTCCTAGATTTACCTCCTCCTTCCATTTTCAAATATTTCCATAAATTTAAAGAGTTCACAATTCATCATTAAACCATAGGGCAAAGCAAGTTGGGATGAACAAAAAGTCAAACCTGCAATTGTAAGTCTTTTCTAATTATATATATATATATATATTAAAAAGAATTATTTTTGTGAAAAATGTGAACCAAAGACAAGCAAGAAGACTCAGCTCTTACGTCAATGCAGTAAACCCAAATTATAATAATAATTTTCATGAATTTCATTATCGGCAGCCATTAATTAACACCCTGTTTTTAATGCTAAATTCTCTGCAACTTCGCCTTTTTTTAAGCATAATCATCTTGTTCTCTTCTGCGCCTGCCTGCCTGCATGCTCTTTGACTTCCACCAAACAAACAATCCTGGCTTTTCTATCATACCATTAATTTATCATCTTTCTTTTTCTGCAAAATGTTGAATTTTTAGGCTTCTTTACCAGATTGGGTTTGCCCCCACAAACCAAAATGACATCTTTTACAACAGTAACGAAGTTGCAGAGAAATGTAGAAGCTTGCTTTTTCTGCTTTCTTTTGAGAGTTTCAGAGCTTATACATTTGTCTTATTGAAATTTCAACAAGTTTGTATGGTAACAGTTCAAAGAACTTGATGTTTTTAACTATCTAAACTAAAGATTCTTAACCAAAACAAAAATAAATGAAAGAAAGATGAAGAACTGGTCTGGTTTATACAGTTTCTACTCTGTGTTGTCTTGTTTTTTCTCTATTGGCAAACCATTGGACTGTCTTTCTAGCAATTGGGTACCAAGTTTGTCTCTTCACATTGTTTTCCAGCTCAGAAGATTCCCCCATTTCAATTCTTCTATTGAATTTCATATGAACATCACCACCAAATCTTGTCACGCCTGTGATTTCTGAGACGGATCTTCTCGCTTCTGTGCTTGTAATTCTTGCTGAACAATCTGATGTAGATGGAAATCCCCTCAAGGGTTCTTCATTTTCTACTGATCTTGATAGCGTTGACTCCTCTAAATATGTTTCCAAGGAAGTAAATCTACCGCTTGAAATGGAATCAATCATCTCTTTATTCAAGAACATCATGTCTGATGAACTAACATTGCTCCATCGATTCATGAAGACAAAATCAGATATGATGATCTTGTGATTATGTCTGTGTAAGTTCTTCATGTTCTTATCTCCATCATAATCCTTTTGAATCAACATTTCCCCTTCTTTGTCACTCTTCAACATCTTTCTGAAGCTTCTCCCAATGCTGAATCTAAAAGAGCCATGGATCTGTTGTTGTTGTTGATGATGTTCTTCTTCTTCTTCTTCTTCTCTCTGTACAAAGAGCTCTATGTTTGAATCTTGCTTCAGCTCTGATAAATTGCTCCACAAGAACCTCATACTGCTTGAATTAGTAAAGAGCTGCAAATCCTCTGAGCTAACTCCCTGCCTGCAAAGAGGGCAGGTGGCATGTCTTTCAAGCCAATGGTCGATGCAGTTGATATGAAACGCGTGCTTGCACTTAGGCAACAGCCGGAGAATTTCGATGTCTTCAAATTTGGAAAGACAGATAGCACATTCAAGCCCTTGTTTGGAGCCTTTCAGAGTGGAGAATCTAAAGAATGGAAGGGACTCAATCACTGTCTTGTCGATTCCCAAAATGGGTGAGCTTGAGCTTGATCTGATTTGTCCGCCATGGGTTACACCATTATTCACATGAACAGAAGATCTGTTATGGCAGTACTTTGCATAAACAAGAAGAACAAATGTCAACACAAACATAACGCCTAGAATTCCTATCACAAACCCAAGATTTGGCTGAAATGAATAGTTTTCAGCATCTTGAGAAGAAGGTTGAGCTTGGACATAGAACAACACAGAAAAGAGGCAAAAAGTGACCAAATTTAAGCGGATCATCGATTCTTCAATAGCTGAAAACACCCTTTTGGATAGGCATGAAAAAGGGTGAGAGGAGTCTAGAATTTCATGTAAAAGAGTCCTTAAATACACCTCTGCTGACAGAGAGAGATTCATCCATCGGCTATGTTGCTTCCTTAATCCTTCTCTGCCTCCTGTTCTATGACTTCACCTCCGTAAAGCATTTAAAAACTAACAAGTTTTATTACAATAACAATTTCCTCTGTTTTATTTGCATTATTACCATATTTATTATATCAAAATCCAAAATCTAAAGATGACGTGTTTGCTAGGGAGAGGTTTCTACACATTTATAAAGAAAAGACGTCGTAGAAAAAGGAAACATAAGGTAGAATCATAAAAATTAAAACCACCTAGAAATAAAATCGCTTATTTAAAAGGTATTTATACGTTTAGTCTATATTCTTTTGTTTAATTCTAAATAAATCAAAGACGATGATGGTTGGTCGGGTGAATAGTTCGTTCTTCGGTTGGCGATGATGACAAGGTTGAGGGAATTTAAAATTTGGTTGACAAATGTGGGGCTCTCATTTGGTAGGCATTACTTGCTAGGCAAGTAGAGATAGATAGATAGATAAGAGTGGGGAAAAAACAATAGGTAAGCACCAAATTCAGACATCACCTGCTCTAAAACAAAACTTATCTTGATGCCACCAATCATTCAACTTAAAAGGGGAAATGATACCAAATTACTATATCTATAGCATTTGCTTTTATGTGGGTTGCCTGCTCTAAACAATTGGGAATTCTTAGTCCTGCAATATGCACCGAATTATGCACACATGCTGCACAACTCTTCAAAAGAACTCAAAATTGCACAACATGGGATGCTGTGTGTGAGACCTTGTGTTCCCTAATGGCAAACCATTGGACTGTTCTTTGGGCCATTGGTAACCAAGTCTGCCTAATTCTGTAACCTTTTGCATCAGTTGAATTGCATTCCCATTCAAACTACATGTGGGATCCCGTGTCGGTTGGAGAGGGGGAACGAAACATTCCTTATAAGGGTGTGGTAATCTCTTCCTAGTAGACGCGTTTTAAAATCGTGAGGTTGACGGTGATACGTAACAGGCTAAAGCGGACAATATATGCTAGTGGTAGGCTTGAACTGATACAAATGGTATCAGAGCTAGACACCGGGTGGTATGCCAGCGAGGACATTGGGCCTCTAAGGGAGTGGATTGTGAGATCCCACGTCGGTTGGAAAGGGGAACAAAACATTCTTCATAAGGGTGTGAAACCTCTCCCTAGCAGACGAATTTTTAAAACTACGTGGCTGACGGACCAAAGAGTGGTGTTGGAGACAGATTTCCTTTCATTAAGAGTTGTTGTCCTTGATGTACTTGCGGTAGAGTCTGATATAGAGGGAATAACTGATCTCTTCATTTCCATCTCTTCCTTAATCTGTGTAATCATTGTGCCCTCAGTTGCAGACAGCGAAAGAGGATAATCTGTTGCTTGACATGGCCCCAAGCATCTCTGTGTTCATGAAAACAAAGTCAGGTACAAGAATGTCGTGTGTTTATGGTTGTGAAAGTGCACCTGCTCCTCGCTGTTGCATTCCTTCATGTTTGATCAAGACTTCTTTTTTCTTATTTGAAGCCGCTTCCAATGTTGAGCCTTGAAGAGTTATGATGATCATCCTCTGTCTGCACAAACAGCACCATGTTTGAATCTTGTCACAGCAGCTCTGGCTGCCTTCCCTTCGAATGATTGCCTTTTGTAGCATTCCAAGGATGTGGGATCTCCTCTCCAACAGAGGTGGGATCTCACTTTTTTTTTTTTTTTGTCTTCCAAATTCTTTTGTATTTACCATAATTACTTAATCAAGTCAAATTTCAACCTCAAATAAAAGATAGTGCAAGGATATATAAAACATATCAATTTTAATTTACATATCATGGAAAAAGAATTGAATAATGGCATCATTATACTAAAATTTAAAGAAATATTTACCAAATAAAAGTTCTTAAACAATGTCAAAAAATGGAACGTGGAGCTAGTTGGCAGTGTGAACACAAGAAATTTTCTACCACGTGGATGGTGGTCAACAATCTGATTGGTTACAAAAGAGAAAAGCTGACAGGATAAGCTGCACAAAGACAGACAAGCGGGTTGCTGACACGTGTGAAACTTCCAACTACTCTGCCGAGCAAAACAGCTATTCTGATCTGAAATGAAATTTCAAACCCAAGAGATTCTGCATTTGTCAACTTCTTGAGCTCCATTTCTGCAAATTTGGCTCTATTCAGATGGAATATGGATACAGAACATGATTTATTCCAGGCTCTGGACAAGGTTGAGAACATTTGAGCAGCTATCATGTCATACTAAACAGAAAAGCTTCCAAGAATGTAATTCTGTCATTCTCAGACCTTGTACAGAAGTCAGTTGAATCAGTTTAAACAAAAAATTCCCAGTTTCTCAAGATTGAGACAGTAAAAAAGAAGTGACCAAGAAAAATGATGAGAAGTGCTAAGGGGATAATACAGGGAATGCTGTTTAATTCAATCCAAAAGAGTATTCCTAACTATGAAAAGATAAAACGTTGTGTCAGTTTTGTGCAGAGGATGAAGGGTTGTTGTTATTTGAGAATGGAGCCAAACCAGTTTCATTTTCCGAACCAACACACTCTTCACCAGCATGTTGAACGAAGTCCTCAGGAGACATGTGTACACCATGGCAAGCACAGACAATCTTGATCAGGTTTGCATTGTATCTGTAAGTCACACCAGAAATTGTTCTACCATTTGGACCTGGACCAGTGGTAGAAACCCATGGTAGATTGGGGAAAGAACCACATCCCCCAAATTTGACATCTGCTGCGAGGCCTGGCCTTATAGCAGAAATTTCGTTTAACAAACCTCCTGCCGATCGTTCAAATGCGTCTTTTGCTCCGAGGCTACCGCTGCTTCCCTTTTCCCCTGCTTGAGAAGAGGACCCTTCTTCCACGATAGGCTGTTTGCTACCAGTTTTGTCTTGTTCAAACGTCCTGGCATCATATGGAGTAGCCTCAGCTGAATTAGGAAGAATTCCTTGCATCCAACGAACATTCATAACAAAGGGTAAGAATTTATCATGAATTACAAACTTCAAAGGTAAAGGAAATCACCCTAAGGTATATAGGATGGTACACAGATATCATACAAAGTGGACATTGTAAGTATCCTTCAAATTTGATAGACCTTCAATCGTGGAAGTACACCGAAGGAAGAAGGGTGAGGGGACATTGATAATATAATATGAAAAATTGTCCTGTTAATGAATGGACCAAATTATTGAAGGGGTGAAAGTTAGAATTTAGTCTCTACGGTTATAAAAGTTAGAATTCCATTTTTTTGGTTCAAACTTCATAAATAATCCCTTGTGACTTGATAAAATCCTCCTAAACTACTTATTCTAACATTTAAAACCATACGAACTAAATTGTGACATTCTTGAAACCAAACAAATCAAAATGTCAATTTAACCTTAATGAATAGATGGTGGGAAATTGTGGAAAGATAGTTCTTAGTCATTACTTCAGACTATGAGGGGCCGGGTAAGTATTTGGTACAAGTACTAGTAGGAAAAGAGGTTGAATAAGCTTCTCCTTATAACTTGTAAGGAAAGAAAAGCCGAGTAAATTCTATCAAAATCTGTTAAACCCATGTTAAAGCCAAGCTCGTAGTTACAGACGAAACCTCAAAATTGTTTAATAATAAAAAATATATGCATAAATTTCTTCCACATTCCTTCTGAACAACCAAATTGTCAATGAACGCTCCTCCTGTTAACATTCAATGATATAGTTTCAAACCAAGATCGATCCAGAATTACGAAGAAAGGGAACAGAAGGCAGTTTTATTTCTATCTTACAAGATTATGGAATGAGCTTTTCAGATTCATATTTTTATTAGTAATTAAGGATAGGATGTTTACCTGAAGAAGTTTGACCTCTGCTACAGGGATTATGCAACTGCGCCTGGGAAATCAAACCCCAGGAATTATCTTTATCTAAAGTCGGAAGCTGGCTAGAAGAATAGCCAAACATCAAAGGCAAGTTCCCAGGATTCATAGGCTGGACTTCACATTGTGCACCACTTCCAGAGAGGAAAACTTGCCTTGTGCCATGCAGAGAATGACCAGTTGAACTGGATCCACCAGCATCGTGAGACTCTTTGACTATTGATGGATAAATACCATTCCGCATACTTGTAGTTTGAATAGAGAACGGAACACTTCTGTTTAAGTTATGACGCTCAAGGTCACTACTTGATGAACTGTTGAACTTCTTCTGCCCACTCAAGTCTGTAGTACTTAACTCAGAATGTCCATCATTTTGTGAAACTGGCTTTGATGTAGAACCCTCAAGTTCAGACTCTCCTACATCCTCAATTTCAGCTGCAGAACCGTCCTCGTATGTGGAAAAAAGTGATGTTTTTGCGTTCTCTACATTGTTCTGACAAGACTCTCCTTCAAGCTTCTTTTGGCCGTTTATCTCCTCAAATAATATCTTTCGTTTATTACCCACTTCAGGCTGTTTTTCTTCCTGGATATCTACACGGTTCTCATTTTTCATTGCCCAGACTCCAGTGGCCTTCAAATTCATAGAATTATATCCATCTATATGAGCCCGGGAAAGGTCATTAAAAAAATTTTCTTTAACCTTCATCGAGTCACTTCTCAAGAGACCTGAACTCATATCTTGTCTCTGATTGCCACCTTGGAGGAAATTCTTGAAATCATCAATTATTTTACTGCCTCTATCAGTTTCTTCTGTTCCAACATCAGAAGAACAGACACTTTTACCCTTGTCCTTGACCAATGATCCTCCACAAGACAAGCCCAAGCTAAGCTCAAGCCGATTGTCCTCCTCCATGCTTCGAGTTAAAAGTTTACCAAAGATCACGATTCACAATCATCCATCAATTCTTGACTCAGGCTGATATATAAAAAGAACCTCAAGTGTAAGAGTAATATCAAATTTGATAAACATATCATGATATTTAAACCTTGCCCATCGATGAAACATACATTGAGTGCTGTAAAATGCCAAAAGATGCAGCAGATTGCAAGATCCAGATTTAATCATTGTAGGTAAATCCTCAGGTTCCATAATAAATAAAAAGAAGAAATCTACTACATTTTACAAACAAGCCAATTACATTGATACTTTGTCCTAACATAGACTGTTGCCAAATCAGGAAATCTTTTTAACACAAAACTCACGGTGGCATTTCCAAAATGTCAGAAACATCTGATTCTTTGTTGCCTTAAACAAAAGTCGCTGGATATTCAATCCACTCTCAAATTTAAAAACATAGTTTTCCTTATCCCAATCAAAACTGACCCACACAAAAACATAACATGTAAATCATGATGGAACTTGCTGTAAGATTACCTAAAACACTCCAAATGCATACAGGATCGAAATAAATATATTCGGTCTGGGAATAAAGTAACATTCCATACGGTTAATTTCTGGCATACATTTAGATGGCAATTCAGATCACGCGATCACCAAATCTTGCAAACATGCTTAGATGTTTTAAAAAAATATATTAAAAAAAAAGAAAAAGAAAACTAGGTAGCTTACAAACAATAGACCAACAATCAAAAGCACCCATTATATAGAACCAAAACCCCATCTCAACTCATTCTCTTCACATACACCTCAATCACTGTAAAATCCGTGGTGATCCAGAATACTTAAGACATAAGAAAAGAAAAAATTTCAGAGTAGGCCAACTCGCCAAAAGTAAATGGAATAAATTACCAGAAAGGAAATGAATCCAAGTTAGGGCAGGGGAACAGTTCTTTGAAACAGAGAAACATAACCCTAAGTCAAGTGATCCTGTCAAGGAAGACCAAGTATGAACTCAAAAACCTGGATTATGGCACAGCGTGGCGGGATGAGAGAAATCCACAGTAGAAATGCATCTCTACTAATTTGGCACAATGAATATTTCTATCAGAATCATGATCTTTGTTCCTCACTGGAACGAATTGTTGATTTGCTCAAAACTCCTCTTCGGATCAAATCGCCGATTTATCGGCCCTGCTTTCGGAGCAACTCGCGGTGTTTGGGCGATCGAATCTGCAACTTAGACCAGATCGGTCTACGAATTATTTTTCTCTTTCTTTCTTTTTTTCAACGGGACCAAAATTTAAAATTCAATAAATGTGTATTTTAGATTTTAGTCCGATTAATATTTGTGGGATGAAAGTCCGAACAAAGTAACGAGAGTTTATGTTTGATGGGAAGAAATACATTATTTTCAAAAAAAAATTATGTTATACTTAATATATCTTCATAATTGTGAAATCTATACATTAAATCATTTTTTAGTACATATATGCATCCAATCTAAACTTTGATCAAGTTCCAAATTACGCAATTTAACTATATTTTTATTATATATTGACACTATTGGACAAAGGAAAAAAAATGTTAAAATAATTCAATTTTAGTACAAGCATTAAATGGGCCGCGATACTAGGAGAGGCCCATTATACGCAAAGCTCCAGGCCCATCGGGCCTTTCCTGAGTAGTAATAGCAAACCAAAGCTTCTCCAAGTCGATATGTCGGAATATCCACACGTCACGTGCAGACCAGATGAATTATTGGTCTCATAAAACTCCTTTCGCCCGTGCCATGCAACGTAGAGGTTGGACGCCCAGAGCTTGAACGTCATGTCGTACTACCTCCCTTTAGCAACAAAAGCCCGTAGCATCAGTTCCCACAACCAAATTCTCACTTAGTCCCTTATATCAGTTTATTGATATACTTATGTAAGAATTTTAATTAAATTTTATTAATGTATTTATACATATATATATATTTGATAGGCTGTCATTGTTACAGTATTAATATTCACATGCTAATGTTGACTGGACCAATAAAATGAATTAAATGAAGTAGGGTAAACGTTATTTGTCAAATTAAAATGCATTAGATATAAAAAAACAAAAAAACAAAAATTTCATAGTTGATAATTATTGAATACACCGTTACATCAGCTTCAAATAATATTAATTAAAGATATATTCAAATATTGTTGCAAGGAATCTTGTTATATTATGTCTGAAATAATGGACAATTTTAAACTGAATCCCAAATTTCGAAATATTTATAAAAAGTGCCCAGTTTTTTAAAACGCTATTAAATTAAAATCTACATTTAATTATTATTATTACTATTGGCTTTTTCTTCAGGGTCCAGCCAGGCATGTACGTGGATATTTGGATAATGAAAAGCAGTTGGTAAGAGAGTGAAATGAAGTTGGATAAGTACAAACTTAATAATTTTCTGGTTCTTTAGTCAACGCCCAAAAGTCTCCGTCAACCACTATCCTTTTGCTGGACTTTTGAAAATTTAAGAACCCTAATATTTTTTAAACCTAATTCTTTAATAAACGTTAGCAAATATGAGATGGGGACCAAGTTGTAATCAATATAAGATTGGATTGATTGGTTAGAGCTTTCATGAAATTTGCAATCCATTTACTCACTCCATTATGGTATTAAATCTATGAGATTGATCATTGTCTAACAATAAATTAAAAGTAATCTACCAATCTTATAGGAAATAAATATCTTCTATGTTGCATCAGGGTATTAAATTGATATTCATAAAAGGTCGGGAAGTGTATAAGATTTGACTAATTCAAAATGGATTGAATTTTGAAAGGTTTTTGCAGCATGGTATTGGATTATGTTTTAGAAATTGATTCCCTACATTTTCATATTCAAAGTTCAATTAGTCAACACTTGTGTGCACATGGTAACCAAGGTCCCATCATCTCTTTGAATGCCCGCTTTTTTCTCAATAATTTATCCAATTTTCAGACACAAGTGGGTTGAAATTTCATATACATTTTCAAACCATTCTTCAAGTCCGACTCCAGCAGCTGCTGTCGGTTCCTTGTTCTCTCGATATTTAGAATCCCACGTCGCCTTTTCAGTTTCAGAGAGACAGAGAAATGGCTGGAGGAGGATTTGCAGATGGGGCGCCATTGAAAAGGGCTCATCTTTATGAGTATCGAATCACTGGGTATTTCATTGCGGCTTGCTTTGTTGCTGCCCTTGGTGGGTCTTTGTTTGGCTACGATCTTGGAGTTTCTGGTATGTTTGTTCTCCATTTTTCAGTACGAACAGTTTTTTGTGTTCTTATGTTCTTGTTTTTCCTCTCTGGAATTGTTTGTTCATCTGAAATTTGAAGATTTTTAAGAAATTTTTGACACACTGAACTCTGTTTTCTATCTCGTTGACTTTGAATTTAAGAACAAAGAGATGAATTATGATCAGTGATTATGCCCTTTACCAAGAATAAGATTGGTGGTTATATGGCACCTACACTTAAGGTTTTGAAAATTAAGGTTCTAAATTTTTAAGTTTTTGGTTATATGTTTGTGAGATCCTTTCGGTTGGAAGGAGAATGAAAGGCGTGCATTTTAAAAACTTTAAGGAAGTCTAAAGAAAACAATATCCGTTAGACACGTTCATGAAGCAGAGTGGTCTAAAATCTCAGGTGGGGTGACTTCCATGGATGATTTTCTGGAGCAATTTTTCCCAAAAGTGTTCAGAAGAAAGCAGCTTCATCTGAAAGAGACGGATTACTGTAAATATGACAATCAAGTTCTAACACTTTTCACATCCTCTTTATACTTTGCTGCTCTTGTCTCTACTTTTTCGGCTTCTTATGTAACAAGAAAACGAGGCCGAAGAGCGAGCATCCTTGTTGGATCGGTTAGTTTCTTTCTAGGTGGTGCGATCAATGCTGCTGCAATGAACGTCGCAATGCTGATCATTGGACGAATTTTCCTCGGCATCGGTATCGGTTTTGGTAACCAAGTAAGAAGAAGAAGGCTGTTGGTTGTGTGGTGAAATTTGAAGGCTCTTTACCTGATGTCTAATTCTTGTTTGTTTTTGTCTCCTGATTGTGCAGGCTGTGCCTTTGTATCTATCCGAAATGGCCCCGGCGAAGATTCGGGGAGCGGTTAACCAACTGTTTCAACTAACTACTTGCTTGGGGATTCTGATTGCAAACTTCATAAACTATGGAACTGATAAGATTCATCCATGGGGATGGAGGCTGTCTCTTGGATTGGCCACAGTCCCAGCTACTTTGATGTTCATTGGGGGACTTTTCCTTCCTGAGACACCAAACAGTTTGGTGGAGCAGGGCAGAGTGGAGGAGGGAAGAACTGTGCTAGAGAAAATCAGAGGCACGACCAAAGTCGACGCCGAATTCGCCGATCTTGTTGATGCGAGCAATGCTGCACGAGCAATAAAACACCCGTTTAGGAACCTCCTTCAGCGAAAAAACCGACCCCAGCTCGTGATTGGAGCGTTGGGAATTCCAGCATTCCAGCAACTCACTGGCATGAACTCCATTCTGTTCTATGCACCTGTCATGTTTCAAAGCTTGGGGTTTGGTTCTGATGCAGCTCTCTATTCATCAACCATCACAAGTGCTGCACTTGTTCTTGCCACTTTCATTTCAATGTTCTTGGTAGATAAGTTTGGCAGGAGAGCATTCTTCCTCGAAGCTGGTGCAGAAATGATATGTTGCCTGGTAAATTCACTTAACCTGTAATAAACCAATTTCTTAACAGAAAATGCTAACACATACGCGCCTGCAGATTGCAGTAGCTGTGACACTGGCGCTGAAGCTTGACCAAGGGGAGGAGGAACTTCCAAAGGGGGTAGGGATCTTCCTAGTGATAGTCATCTGCATATTCGTGTTGGCTTACGGAAGGTCATGGGGGCCGCTCGGTTGGCTCGTGCCGAGCGAGTTGTTTCCATTGGAGACAAGATCAGCCGGGCAGAGCATGGTGGTGTGTGTCAACATGCTTTTCACGGCTTTGATAGCGCAGTGTTTCCTAGCCGCTATGTGCCATCTCCGGTATGGGATCTTCCTGTTGTTCGCAGGTTTGATAGTAATAATGTCCAGCTTCATCTACTTCCTGTTGCCAGAAACTAAGCAAGTCCCTATCGAAGAAGTGTATCTGCTGTGGCAGAACCACTGGTTTTGGAAGAGATTTGTTAAAGATGGGAGACAAGGGACTCAACATGTGTAGGAACAATCAAAGAAGTGGCTGTAATTTAGTATACAAAATGCATTTTATAGTAAATTGCTATTTTGTGTTCATAAATTTCCTATGCATATTAATATGATCCACCCAATATTATTCAACCAACTCTTAACCCAATTAAAACCAAACTTTAGGATCTTCCTACATAATTCCCTTTTCCCAATGCTAATCACCTAATAAATATAAAATAAAAAATTTAAGAATTTAGTTAATACAAAATTAAAAATTTTCGTCCATTATAATTCGATCTATGGATCGGAGAACTTTTTCGTTGATAGAAACAACGATCAAAGATCCGACTGATAGAACAAACACCATACTAGAACAAATTGAAAAAATTAGTTTAAACAAGAGAAGTACGTCATGCTAATGTGCCTTAGATGATCCATATCTGAAGGTTAAGCGCGCACATTAAACTATCCATGTGGCTGAGAGCCCCCACAGCCCAAGCACAACGAAGCAATTATCAGAGGTGCGCTCTACTATTGAGCTAATAGCCCATCGTGCGGGCTTCCCGCTGGGCCCACTATGCCATGCTATGCCAAAAGTGAGAGAAACCCCATCCCTCTCTTTCCTTTTTCGATATTGTCCCACGGGACATGGGGAAGTAAAAAAAAGATCCTAAAAAAGATCCTCCTAAGTTTAAGGATGATCTAAAGTTGAGAGATTTTTTTTTTACTATTTTCTTAAATCTAAAGATTAAATAAATACAATTTTAAATTTTTGAATACTAGATATATAATTAATTTTTAAATTTTAGGAACTGTATTAAATATTTTAAAAATATTTTAGAGATTAAATAAATGCAAACTTAAAAAATTATAGTATTTTATAAAGTTTATGAACACAAATTTAAGATTTATGGATATATTAAATAATTTTTAAAAATTAAAAACTAAATAGAGTTAGAAATAAATTTACAATTTAATTAATTAGATCAAAATCATCATTTATTTAAATTTAATAAAAGCAAAATTATTATTCCACGCCTTTTTAGCTTTTTGACGAGACGCTTGGAACGTAGAAGTTCGGATTCAGAGACGTTCTCTGTTTCTGGTTAGAAATGGGCAGAAATTTCCTTTTTCATCAAAGATTCGAATCTCCTTGATGTACCAGATGAGATTCAGGATTTGCGACTGGAAATAATTGATTCATGCACCAACGGATTTGAGCTCAGCCCCACAGATGGCTCTGTGATAAACTTCCAATGATTGCCGCTTCATTCTCTCTGAAACGGCGGGCCAATCCACGTCCCAACGTTAACGAACTCGTAAGCTGGTCCTCATTCAATATCCCTTCTTGCCTTTCTGGGTGAACTTCGTTTTTTCACTTGTCGTCATCGAGAATCTAGATTCTCCTTCAAAAAGAGTTGGGACCTACCATTTCCCCGGTAAAAGCACTTTACAGATTCTTATAATTTTTCTTTCCCTGATTGCAATGATCTGATGGAGATTTCGATTTTAAGAAACAAGGTATAATTATCAATCATTAGTTCATAATCGATGGGGATTCAGAACTAGTATGGTATATCTAATTTGTATCTGGGAAGAGAGGAATTGGTATATTTTGCACGCGTAAGTTGATTTGTTCGGTATGGTGCTACAGTGTACAGAGAGATTTTTTATTCCGTCTATCGTGCATTGATCTTATTGTGGCTAGCTTTGTTTAATGGAGATATTTGTCTATCAATTGTGCGATTTGGAATACTGACTAGGTAATTGGTTGGATTTTTGGCGTTATGGAGATCCGGCGGCTTCTAATTATCATAATTATGATACTTATTACTCTCTTTTCTTTCCAATATTCTGTGTTTCAGTACACAAAAAGTTTAAACGATAAGGCCTCAACTCTTATGATGGTTCAGAATGTCTGTCATATGAACAATTTAGGACTTTGTAGATTTGATACAGTTGATACGGGTATTAACAACTTGGATACAAAGGAAAATGTTGATTATGATACTAACAAAAAGGTAAGAACAGAAGTTGTTGATTTGACATCAGAATTCTTGAAGAAAGAGTCCGTTGATGAGGAGGAAAAGAGTAATCTGACAGAGGATACTGTCATAAGGGAAACGAATGCAGAATTAAGTTACAGCCCCCTGATGAAGGGAGATGTTTTAGAAGATAGTAACATGACAGCCGATGAAGGTAAAGCCACTAGCAGTCCAGGTGTGAGTGAAATTGGAAATCAAAGCATAGTTGTTTCAAAACAATCCCATGGAACTATGAACAATAGCATTAAAAAGGTTGATCATACATATTCTAACATTTCCGCGACTCCAGATGCATTGGCTGGCCAAGAAGAGGATACCAGAAGCAGTATGGAAGAATTAGAAAACGATGATGGAGTTGTGCTAGGGAAGAAGGATTCAGTTGTCTTGAATGACAGAAAGGGGGGGCCAGACATATCAACATTGAGTGGGCCATTTATATCAATATCCCAAATGTATTCAAAGTTATCAAGGGCTCACAAGTCTTCTTGTTTGAAGGTATGGATTACATTTCGAGGTTCCAGATTTGGGTAACTGTAACCATCTAGAGTTCTAAAATTTTCACTCGTAATGACACTTGGTAGCAGAGGCGGCAATGTCCACAGACATCCCGACGTGATCGTGAACTACACTATGCAAGACGGGAGATTGAAAATTCTTCTGTATTAAGGAGCACTCCAGGAATTAATGCCTCTATTTTCAGAAACATTTCCATTTTTACGAGGTAATCCAATACCTTAAAACATTTGGTGTTTTTCATTTTTCTTGCATCTTCCAATGTTCTTTGGAGACAATGTTGTGGTTAAGCACTCTTGATTCTGCCCAATGCCACTTACATTGAGCTTAGTTTCCTGAACTTTAAATGGTGAATAATACTCCCAAACATATTTGTTCTTTATGGGGAAATGAAAGCAAAAGGTTAACATTTTTGTAAGGTTATATAGTCTACAGTTGAAAGACAAAGGCTAAAAATTTTGTTCTGAACGTTTCTTCCTAAATCCATTTCCAGTTACCAAGCTTTACATTATCTGGGTTGACTTGTTTTATGAGAGGGACAGAGCTCCTTTTGTAGGATTATTTTTGCTCATTCTCTTTTACCTTAGCGAAACATCAATCAACCTTTACTAAGGCAAAGCTTGTGGTTTGTCATCTTTGCAGGAGTTACGAGTTGATGGAAAAAATGCTTAAAGTCTATATATACGAGGAAGGACAAAGACCCATTTTCCATCAGCCTATATTGACTGGAATATATGCCTCAGAAGGATGGTTTATGAAATTATTGGAAGAAAACAAAAAGTTTACTGTGAAGGACCCTGAGAAAGCTCATTTATTTTATTTGCCCTTCAGTTCACAGTTCCTAAGGGTCGCATTTGGAAACAAATTCCGCAACAAGAGGGATCTACAAAAGCTTCTCAGGAAGTACATTGACTTAATTGGGAAGAAGTATCCTTTTTGGAAAAGAAATGGAGGATCAGACCATTTTCTTGTTGCTTGTCATGACTGGGTAGACATTCTTCAATCTCGCTAATCATATCAATTTAGCTTCAGTTCATTATTTGACAGTAATGCTTATGTGAATCAAATACTAGCCTAGATGAAAATGAGTTTTCTTGCTAATTGTTTTGTAACAACCTGAAACTTATTGGATGTGTTGTTTTATGTCTTCCTAGTAATTAATGTTCTTTGCATTTGGATTGAGAGGAATAATAGATCAAGTGAGATCATTTGGAAACTGGTTAGGTTTAACGCTCTTTATGAGTTTCATATTCTTTCATTGCTTTCAATGGAAGTGTGGTTTCCTGATGCTTTGTAATTATTGACTGATATAGATCAATTTCAGGCTCCCAAGCTCACAAAGCGTTTGGTGAAGAACTGCATCCGAGCACTCTGCAATGCAAATGCTGCTGCAGACTTCGAAATTGGAAAAGACACCAGTTTACCAGTAACTTTTGTACATTCAATCGACAACCCCATAGACGATATTGGTGGGAAACCTCCTTCCGAAAGGACCACGTTGGCCTTCTTTGCTGGGAGCATGCACGGTTATCTCCGGCCTATTCTTCTACACTACTGGGAAAGCAAAGAACCTGACATGATGATTGTTGGCCCAATGCCTCATAGCATTGAAGGGAAAAGTGCCTACATGAAGCAAATGAAGAGAAGCAAGTATTGCATATGTGCTCGAGGCTATCAAGTTCATACGCCTCGGGTGATCGAAGCAATTCTCAACGAGTGCTTCCCTGTGATTATATCAGATAATTACGTCCCTCCCTTCTTCGAGGTATTGAATTGGGAATCATTCTCGGTGTTTGTTAAAGAGAGAGATATACCGAATTTGAGAGACATTCTCCTCTCAATCCCAGAGAAGAACTACCTTGCAATGCATTCAAGAGTGAAAATGGTGCAACAACACTTCCTATGGCACGAAAAGCCTGCAAAGTATGATGCATTTCACATGATCCTTCATTCAATTTGGTACACGAGAGTGTTTGAGATCAAAACCAACTGACATAGGCAAAGTTTGATTCTGGATTTAACAAGACACTCAATTGTTACAAGGGTAGGCCTCATCCATGTTCCTAATGTAGTTTATACAAGTCTTGAATGAGGGAAAGAAATTAGTTTTGGTTACTTGAGATTTTTCTACCATGTTTATATACATATGGATTAGAATTAGGCTGGGGCGCGGATGGTTTAAACTCTCATTCTTGTTTAAACTCTCATTCTTATGATCATCATATATGGTATATAAATTTTGAGAACTATTTACCATTTTAAATGTGGATGGTCTAATCTCTTATTCTTATGATAGTCATATATTTTGAGATAATTTTTAGATACTCCTTACCATTTTAAAGGTAGATTGTTTAATCTGTCGTTCTTATTATGATCATCATTTTTAGGTAATGTTTACCATTCTAAAGACGAGTTGTTTATTTTCTTATTCTTATGATCATGTATATAAATTTTGAGATGATTTTGAAATATAAGATAAATAGAGATGGAAATGTGAAATTAAATAATGTATAAAACATTTAATTAATTGACAAGGAGTGTTTATAAATGTTTTAATTACTTGTGGTACTTGCAATTATTTTTATAAATTAATCTTACTAAATCTTTCGGGAGAGGTAAAAGAAATGGTTCATAAATAATATACTTGTCACGTCAATTAAAGAAGCTTTAGCTAATGATTTCTGAAATAACCTGGCATATATTTTAAATGAAAGATTTCATTTTAATAAAATAAAAAGATACAGATAATGATATAAGGATATAAATAATTTAGCCTCCCATCAAATTTGGCGGACTCGACGACACAGTTCTCAGAAGTCTGAATCACTTCAAAACAAGCGATGAAGATGATCACCGTTGTACGGACGGTACCGACGAAGCTTGAAAGTTGAAAGGCTGCTTACATAGCTCATAGGATTGAAGAGGCTACAGCTTCAGAGGTAAAGAAAGCTCGAGCTTAGCTGAACATCCAACTTTCTTTTTGATTTCGCAAACACTTCGTTCTCTTCTGTTTTGGTCGGAGTAACACTGAATTTCGAATTCTCTGTCCGCTTGATGTTTTAGCTGCAATTTTGAATGTTTGTGATTTTCATCTCATTCCCCTGCGATCGATAAGGTTTCTGAGAAATGTCTTCTCAAAATTGGTGCTAATTGCTGGTAACTGAATTAGCTCATAATTTTTCGTCATGATTTAGCTGTCTATTGTCAACCGTAGTTCATAAGCTAATTCAGATTTGTTTGATAACTGTGGGTTTTCCTTTTTCACGCATTGGTATCTAGTTGCTGCAAGGTGCATGATGATCGTATGCGACTGCTCCAAGTTGATGTGGTTTTTTAAAATTGGGAGTCCAATGTGATCCCGAGCTTCTTCAAGTTATCGGAATATTTTATAGATATTGGTTGCTTCCCACGGTTCCTTATATGGCTATTCATATTTGTACAAACTTGTTTCATGGTATCAAAATCCGGAGGCTGCTTATTATGATAGCCATCATAATTTCAATTCTCATTGTTTCCCAGTGCTACGTTTATCCTTATGCGAAAAAATCTTTCCTACCACTTGATGTAAAGAGCTCAGACATTATGAGTCTTCAAAATATCACTAGTTTAAACCATTCAGAAGTTCATTTCCTGTATACTGTCACTCATGTGAAAAATAGGAAGGAAAGAACTGAGTACATTACTGAAAAGAAGGGAGAAAGAGGATTTGGTTTGACTTTGGATGCTGCTAATAGCATGCCATATGAGAATGGTACACCATTTGAAGAGACTTCGGCAATGCCAGATGGAAATTCTACTGTTGATAATGACATTGGGAGTGGGACGGTAGAGTTTGGTTATAATCCCCCCATAAAGGAAAAAATTTTAGACAACAGTTACAAGAGAGTTGTTGAAGGTGAAGACAGCAGCAATCTAAATACGAGTAAAATGAGAAACCATATTTCTTTTGTCTCAAATCAATCTCAAGAGTTAATTGTAGATCCAAGAAAATCTGACTTGTCTTCTGCTCAAAACACATCTTCCATTCCAGAAGACCGTTTCGGTAGAACTGAGGAAATAGTTACAAAGGATACAAGGTCTGAGCAAGCGAAGAATGTTTTCGATACCTTGGATGGACTTGCACGGTATGACATATCGACTTTGAAGAGTCCTGAGATGCCACCAATATCAATATCTCAAATGAACGCATTGTTGTCTCTAAGTCATACTTCTCCTTGTTCGAAGGTATAGATTTCAACTTAAGGTTCCAATTAGATCATTGACAAAAACTCGACTCTAACACTTGTACTGCTGATTTTACTTGGTAGTAGAAGCCACAGTGTCGTTTGTCTTCTTCACGTGATCGTGAACTTCTACATGCAAGACTGGAGATTGAGAAAGCCACTGCTGTTGTGAACAGCCCAGGAATTATTTCTGTTTTCCGAAATGTTTCTATGTTCAAGAGGTAATATTTTCTAAACATTGTTTGGTTCATACTGCCTAGACATGTAGCAGTGGCCTGGCATTTAGTCTATCCCATCGGCTATCATCTTCGTTGATCCTGTGTCTTCAATGTCAATTAGCTTATTGTGAAAATTTGGATACTGTGACCAGTACCAACATTAACCAGGATGAAGCGTATATTGCGTGTTCCCTTTGCAGGAGTTATGACTTGATGGAAAAAACGCTTAAAGTTTATATCTACAAGGAAGGAGAAAAGCCTATTTTCCATCAACCTCGGATGAGAGGGATATATGCCTCAGAAGGATGGTTTATGAAATTGATGAAAGAGAATAAAAAATTTGTTGCAAAGAATCCCAAGAAGGCTCACTTGTTCTATTTACCTTTCAGTTCGCAGTTACTAAGGAGTGCACTTTCTGAACAAAATTCCCAAGGTCGAAAGAACCTAGAGGAACGTCTAGGGAACTATGTCAACTTAATTAGGAGAAACCACCAATTCTGGAACAGAACTGGAGGTGCTGATCATTTTCTTGTTGCTTGTCACGACTGGGTATGTATTCTATACAGAATTTAGATTTATCGACAATGTCTTGTTCAAGTATTTTGTTGCTTATCTTGGAAACTCTTTTCATGTCATCCTTTGAAGTAGCTGAGGCTTGTTTGCTTTGTATTCTGTGGACAGTGTTCCGTGTGTCCGAAACCCTGACTTGAGCATAAATAGTTCAGTTACAATTTGTTGTCATCTTAAATATCTTGTTGGAGTCTGCTTCCTAGTAGTCTAGTTATCATTTATTTTCAATACATTCAATTTCAGGCCTCCAAACTTACAAGGAAGTATATGAAGAACTGCATCAGAGCTCTCTGCAATGCAAACGCTGCTAGAGGCTTTCAAATTGGGAAGGACACTAGCTTACCAGTTACAAATATACATTTGACAAAGGACCCTGATATAACTACTGGAGCAAAACCTCCTTCAGACAGGACTACATTAGCCTTCTTTGCTGGGGGTATGCACGGTTATCTCCGACCAATACTGCTTCATTACTGGGAAAATAAAGAACCTGACATGAAAATTTTTGGCCCAATGGCACGCGATGCTGAAGGGAAAAGAATCTATAGGGAGCACATGAAAAATAGTAAGTATTGCATATGTGCGAGGGGATATGAAGTTCATACTCCTCGAGTGGTTGAGGCCATTCTAAACGCATGTGTTCCAGTTTTCCTATCAGATAATTACGTGCCTCCTTTCTTTGAGGTATTAAACTGGGAATCATTCTCAGTATTTGTTCAAGAGAAAGAGATCTCTAATTTGAGAAATATTCTGCTCTCAATTCCTGAGGAGGACTACCTTGTCATGCATGCAAGACTGAAAATAGTTCAAAAGCATTTCATTTGGAACAAAATTCCGGTGAAGTATGATTTATTTCATATGATCCTTCACTCAGTATGGTATACTCGAGTTTTTCAGATGCAAACCAATTGATTTAGGTAGCATCAGATTCTGGTGTCAGAAAGCCACAAATGTCGAATGAATAAGAAGACTGTGAAGGGGAAGCAAAAGGATGTAGTGTAAATATGCCGAGCTTCCATAACATCGTACGCCCTCCAGATAGAGATGAAGCTTAGCTTGAATCTCTCTAATCATATGGTGGAATTCTTGAGGGATATATTTGCAAATGGTTCCATCTTGTAAATGAGTTCGATGACTCATTAGTTTCATATTCCATACCAAGTTTTGAGTTCCCCTTAGAACAGTTTGTGAAACCAAATGATACCGTCACTTAAGGGAACGAGTTAGAAGATTTTGGTGCAATGGATTGGATTTTGGTGAGTTAGAAGAATTTAAAAACTTATCATTGCGAAAGCCTGAGAATATAGATATGACTTTCAATTCTTCAACCGCCATGCTACCGATCCCAGCTTCACCTGTTAACACAGTTCATTCAGAGAACTTGATATCAAATATAAGCTCATCAGTCTCAGAAACCGATTCTAAAAGCACAACTAAACGGAAGAAGATGAAGAGTGAAATGCCACCGAAGTCCATAACTTCACTAGAAGAGATGAACAGGATGTTTGTGTTAGTTTTGAATTGTTCGTTTGATGATCTTATATTATGCTGGGTTTTAATCTTGTTCTTGCTTTGCGTGGAGACCAATGAGTTCCTCTTTACGTGATCAGGAAAATTATTCTGCCAAGTCCTATATGTGCGTAATTCTCATAACAGGACAAATTACGTCAATTTTTTGAAGGAATACTCGGAAAATATTGCAGCCAAATATCCATACTGGAATGGAACTGGTGGAGCAGATCATTTTCTTGTTGCATGCCATGATTGAGCGCTGCTTAAAAGCACTTTGCAATACTGATGTAACGGTTGCCTTCAAAATTGGATGAGATATGTCTCTTCCAGAAACTTATGTAGCGAGAAATCTTCTTAGAGATATTGGAGGAAAACCTGCTTCACAAAGACATGTTCATGCCTTTTATGGTGGGAATATACATGGTTATGTCTTAACCCTGATATGAAGATCTTTGGTCCAATGCCTCATGGTATTGCAAGCAAAATGAGTTACATTCAGCATATGAAGAGCAGCAAATACTGCATCTGCCCAAAGGGTTACGAGCTCAATAGTCCACGGGTTGTTGACGCAATCTTTTATGAGTGTGTACCTGTGATCATATCAGACAATTTCGTGCCACCATTTTTTGAGGTGTTGAATTGGGAAGCATTTTCAGTGATTGTTGCAGAAAAGGATATTCCCTACTTACAACAACATACTGCTTTCTTTCAATACTAAACGACAGATATCTCGAGATGCAACTCCGAGTCAGGAAAGTACATAAGCGCTACCTTTGGCATGCCAAGCCCTTGAAGTATGACATTACCCTTCATTCATTCTGGTATAACACAGTGTTTCAGATAAAGATGTTGTAAGTGCTCCATTGAAGATATGAAGGAAATCCATGAAACTCTAAAATAACTGCACAGAACAAAATGACTCCTTTGCAGCTTCTCTTTGGAAAAAAATCTGCTTAAACCTCGGTGGGATCATGTCAAGGACCTTGAAAATGGACTGCAACTGTGGCAGTGTTCTTGTATATAGCAGACTGGTAAAACAAAACTATGATTATTTGTCAATATTGCAGTAGAAATCCTGATTTCCGTTCAGCAACCTCTGCATCTGGCTGTGAGACTTCAGGTTTCAAATCATACTGCCCTCTACCTCGTCGACGTAGGAAGCCATTTTCCAGGACCACAATGGAAGTTATTACTCGTTCTTTGGGTCATCATCAACCACATCCATCCAAAGCAATAAATGTTTTCACTCACTGGGTCCATCCAGACCAATTGAAGAGAGACCCACATTCAAGAACCGTATCTCTGAGATCGGAATCAGATACTCAGGCATATATGATCTCTAATATGGCACCACAACACGAAGCTTCCTATGAAGAACAGGGGCAATGTGGAATGGGCGATGATGTTAATGAACTTGGTGGGTTGCTGTCAACAAACGAAGGGACCCTGATTATCAGATATTTAAAAGATCTTCCACAGGCTCTACTACTCTCATGAAACTTCAGATGATCATACAGGTACCAACAATAAACTAGAATCAAAATATTAGCGATTGTGGGTCCCTGTGAATTTAGTGATCTTTGCTTCAAAATGGAAAAAAAAAATGGTGGGGATTGCAAAATTAGGTGTTCTGAATGAGAGCATATGGTTATAATGATGGCCTGATGAGGTTCTTCCTTCTGGGTCCTTCCTTCTTTTCTCATAACTCCAATAACCATAATAAATTTTGACAGATTTGAAGTGTCCCTATTTCATTAAAGGATGGAAATTTGCCAGCCTACCAGGATTAAGTTTCCCAGTCCCATATCCACCATTATTGGATAGGGTGAATTTCAAGTCCAATCAGAACTCATTTTTTACTATGCAATGATTCTGATCCAAATTTGTCGTCTTGAAGGACCATTTTGTGGTAAATAAATGCACAATTGACTGTTGAGCTACCATATCTGTTTGCTTTTTTACTTCACAGACATGCATGATCCATAAATAAAAAAGAAAAACTCAAATTTAAAGTCTTTGGCAGCTATTTGTACTCATTCCACAATAACCCTGTTGCTTTCTGGTTGTAAATAATTGAATCCTTTATTGACCGTCTCCTCTGACTTCTGTATCCTTTTCTTCTATTTCAGAATACAATAATTTTTTACTATATTTAGGTTAACACTATACTTCTTTCTAACTTTATACACACATTTTTAGGTACAAAACAAATATATCTCAAACTTTGTCACTTGTTTCCAAATTACTCTTATATTTGTCTCTTATATTTGTTTACATTCTAACAGATTGCTACGTCAAGATAATTTTACAACGTTTGTCATTTTAAAAAATAAATATCTTGGACATGGAGAACACATGGAGTTCCATGTGATGGAGATAAAATAATCAAGAAATTGGATTAAAAAAATACAATATTTATTTAACTAGAAAATAAAAGATAGATGGGTCCACATATTAAATGGATCATAGGGTTGAATCCATGAGGTAATGGGCTAGTATTGAAGCTTCAATCACTATCCACATTAATATCCTTGCACAATTATGAAATAAATGTTTGTATGTTTCTCTCATTTTTCATACTTTCGCCTTTCAAATTATGTTCTAATTAATGACCATGTATTTTTATGCCTCGTTAAATTGAATTATTCATTCGAGTTAAAATTATTTCCTTTCATCTCGTCAGTTTTCTTATCATATTTTCTCCCCCAACGTTTTTAATACCTAAATAATCGTGCTTCATCTATTTATATAAAGCAACTACTCAATAGTCGTTAGCCCTAGACGTTTAAAATTTTTAAAAAATATATTAGAAATATTTTGATCGATATATTTACACAAATTTAGGAATTCGTCTCAATCATTATCCCCTCTTTTGACTTTAGTGCTAGTGGAAAACAAGGTATGTACCTTCCCAAGTTCTATAGGTTAATTCCATAAATAAATAAACACGTACAATTTGAGTACATCGACTCAATTTTCGAATTCATGATTTTGACCTAATAATCATAATAATTAATAAATTAAAAAAAAAAAAACATGATGAAAGCCAAATGAAATGAATGATTATTCAATGGGACAGATGAATGACATTAGATGCATTAAAATGAAACATTATAGTTATGTCATTAATTTATAATCAATAATTTCAACAACAATTTAAACATGCCTTCAAACTCCACACCTAATCTTTTATCATTTAAATAAATGGACAAAATAATGGCATCATTAAATATATTATTCTATGCTTTTAACAAATATATTACTCCGATATTTAAAAGTATAAGAACCGAATGAAATAAATTTGAAAATGATGAATAAAAGTTACCGGAGTGAAAAATGGATGAAAAATAAAAGCACATGTTTGGCAATGATGTGGGAATTAAATATGTCTCGATATGAACGTGACTATAGTACTAGATTTTGTCAACTTAATTTAATGTACGCTATGATCTGAATAAAGTTATTTTAAAAAAAAAAAAAAGAAATAAAGAAATCGACTGGTTTTTATTAAATGGGTAAGAATATGGTATGGTTATTATTAAAAAGAGTATATTAAAAAATGATGCGAATTCCGTTACTGTAAAGAATATTAATTTTACAATATGGTTTGGGAGACCAAAACGACTGCAACCATTTAACCAACACCATGCCCTTCAATAGTGTCTAATTTATTATTATTGGACCCTCTTTATTTATTTGTTTTTTTTTTACTTTGGTTTTTTAAATTATTTGATTAAGACTATACAATAGGGTGATTGTCGTTCTTGAATCGTTTCTTAGGACTACTTTGTATATTTATTTATTTCAATTAATTTTTGAGAAAATCGTGCTTGTTTAATACTGGCTACCGTTTTCCCCTTGTTTTATAATCTTTTGAAGTAACTCGAAATCTCTTACATTTACAATTCATGACGCATTACTAATATCAATTACAAACGTTAAATATTCTTAACGAGTGGAATTGACTCAACCAAAAAAATATAAACCCACAACAACTTTGATGATTTGGGTTGAATATGCGAGTTACGAAGCCATATGAATAAAATAATATTGTTTATAATAATTAAAATTAAAGAAAAGGGCATGTGTTATTGGTGTTTAAATAAAGAAAGTAGTAGGGTACAAATTAAATTTAGAAGTATTAGGGAAATTTGTGTGCTAAAATAGTGGGTATAAGCTTGGAAACACCAACACGCTTCATAACAAGAATTTGCAGTCTAAGGCAACATCACCCACACACCAAACAACCCCAATTCATTGAATTTGTACATAAATAACAACCAAACTTCATGCTCTCTTCCTCTCCTTCTACATTAAATTACAACTCCAATTATTCATCCCTAACCCACAATAACCAAGCCCTTTTTCTTTCGCTTCTTTCCTCTTCAAATCTTCTCGAGTCTTTTATAAATAAAGAATAATCTCTATTGATATGAACTCCACATAAAAATGTTAAATGTATACGGACTCTCATTTTATTCATTTCACCCCACCCCTTTTTTAAAAGATGAGAAAGAAAATAACCCGAAATTGTCCCACACGACCATGAATCCAGGCTGTGAGGGTTCATCTCCCCCAACTCTTTGTACCTTCACCGTCCTTCCCTCCCCTAATAATAACTAATATCATTTTTTTTCTTTTTCTATAAATAATAATAATATATATTAATATTGAGATCTTTATTTGTAAGAGACACGGGAAAGACCGATACGAATGATGGGAAAGAGGGTGGTGGGTGAGACTGAGAGAGAAAGTGAGAAATATTATTTTTATTTAAAATAATAATAATAATAAGAATTATTGGAAAGAGAAATACTCGTCTACACCCGCTTCTATTACAATCCCTGTGCATGATAAACGCACAGTGACCAAGGGCATCGATGCCTCCTTTTATATATATATATATATATATATATATAAGCCCTTTTATACCCATTCGTGTAGGGGTGACTTCCAATTTCTAATAATACCCTTTTATCAATGGCTCGCCTTATCGTTCACAATGACCCTGCAATTTTCAACTCTTCCTCTTCTTCTTCCTCCTCCTCGTCGTCGGCGTCGTCGGTTGAGATCGATCAGGCAGGGGCGGCGATTGCGGTTGACTCGAACCGGAAACGGGCGAAGCGGCCCAGGGAAACTAGCAACGGTAACAGCAAGCACCCGGTTTTCCGTGGGGTCCGAATGAGGGCATGGGGGAAATGGGTTTCCGAAATTCGCGAGCCCCGAAAGAAGAGCAGGATCTGGCTCGGCACTTTCTCCACCCCTGAAATGGCCGCACGTGCCCACGACGTCGCCGCTTTAACTATCAAAGGCAACTCCGCCATTCTCAACTTCCCCCAACTTGCCCATCAGTTCCCTCGCCCCGCTTCCAACTCCCCCCGCGACGTCCAGGCCGCCGCCGCCAAAGCTGCCTCCATGGAACTCCCCACCCCTCCCCTGCCTACGCCCTCGTCCTCGTCTCCCTCCCCCTCCTCCTCCTCCTCCTCCTCCTCTTCCTCTTCCGGTTTGTGTCCGTCGACGCCGGAGGAATTGAGCGAAATCGTGGAGCTTCCAAGCTTGGGGACGAGTTACGAAACAACCGAATTGGGGAAAGAGTTCGTATTCGCTGACTCATTGGAAGGTTGGCTTTATTCTTACCCATGGTATAACAGAGTGAGCAATGTAGAAGAAGAAGAAGAAGAAGATTACAGGTTGTTCGGAGACCAGATTTCAATGGCGGATTATACACACACTTGGATTCCCACTACCACACCCTTCGAAACATTCTTGTGGCCACATTAAACTAAATCACCCTCACCTCCATTCTTCTTCCCCCAAATCTAAATTTTGCTTGTAAAACTAAACATTTTCTTCCAAACCTCTGTTTTTCTTATTAAAAAAAAATAGTAATAATAATGTAAGGATTTGGGGTTTGAGGCGTAATTGAATTAATCATCAATTTCGCCTCCCTCTGTTCATATAAATTTGTGTGTAATCTCTGTTTACGCTCTAATTAATCAATTTCTCTCTCTGTTTGTGTTTAATCAAATGGGAGAAATGGAATTAAAAAGAAATCACAATCTTTGTTTAATCTTAATGGCCCCTTAATCGTAATGTCATTGCTCCACGTGGTTCACAGCTTCGGATGCGTTACATTTTATTATTATTATTATTATTATCAGATTTTAATTAGGGTTAGATTAGTAAATGTAAGTAAGTTAGTTATGAAGAAAAAAGGTATTTAAATAATGGAATAGAATTATTAGCGGATTAATTAATTGGTTGGTTATAGCGAGGTTCAATTATTGATCAGAAATTTATGAATATCAAAATCTAAATGAAATCTCCAATGTGAATAACATGAATTTAATCTCTCCCTTTTTTTCTACTGATTTTGTATGGTACCATAATATAAAGTAAAGTTGATATGTGACCATAGATTAGACCAAAACAAAACAAATAATTTCTTTACTAAATTATTAGATGCATCCCTATTATATTGTTTTTTCTTCCTCTATTCATTTATTAAATGCATAGCTATTAATAATTTATATATATTACATATTAAATTTCATTAAATGCCAATTTAAGAGTGATTTTAAGTATTTTTTATGCCGTTGAATTATGTCAAATTTAGGTTGACTCATATTGATATCTATATTGATATCTATGAACCTTTAGTAATAAATGTATACCACAGTTAAAAATATTTGTAATCCGTGTGACACTAAATTTTTAATGTGCTATAGGAGAATAATTGGAAGTCAAACTCCCCACATTTTGCGAACTAAGGTAAGATACGTATTAATTAGATAAAAGGTTAATTAAGGTGTTAATGGAAGGGGAAAGAAAGTTGACCTTGGATTTGGGAAGCAATTAATTGGGATTTACTAAGGTAAGTAAAACTGAGTTGTATTCAGTTTAATCATGAATTAAATACAGAGATTTAGCATAACCATGA